GAGAACCTTAGCCCAGGAGCAGAGGAACTTTCACCAAGAAGCACAGTGAAGACCATGACTGAGACACTACTGTTTGTGTGACACTGATTTGAAAAGTGTAGTCACGAGCCGTTTAAAGAGTCCAGTGAATACAATTAGCAATCCGGCCTCCGTATATAGTCACTCAAACACCTGTAAATATATTGAGGTGGTAGATTCTACAGGGTTCTGACGATGGTGTATAATACTGAAATACTGGATTTTTGGACATTTTCCATCGTCCGATATTCTACAAAATATAAAACACGACGTTTCGGAAACTGGATCTGTTTCCGTCCTCAAGTGAGATTGAGATTAGCTCCTTCTAAGGGGCCCAACCGAGTAGGTGTCTTCCTCCCTCACCTGAGGAAGGCAAGAGATCCAGCTTCCGGAAGCCGTGTTTTCTAATTTGTAGAATACCAGACGATGGGGAAAGTCCAAAAACCCAGTAATTCTGTGCAATATATTAAGCTGTTTTATATCACGAGTTACAAGAATTGCAAGACAAGGTCTGTTTAATTTGCAGAGATTGTATGCACTAATGTCACTGTCATTCCAGAAGCAGAAGTCAGAGAATGGTCCTAAGAGCTTGAGGTAATGAGCACCATTAGCGAAACATTTAACACACCCTTATCCAAATTGATCTCTGAGAGTAGCAGCAGCAAGCATAACAGGAGAACAGTAAGCAATTTCAAGAGCTATTGAAATATTTATGGCGATTCTAACAAAGAGCCATTAGGACGAACTCAATATTGGAATTTTGAGAATTCCCTTTGATTTACGACAATTGTTTCAAATAGGTGAATTGTCAAAGTTGGAATTAACTTACCATTTCCTGTACTTAACTTTCATTTGTTTCACTAGTATGTTTAACATACATGCAACTTTACGATCCATTAATGTCTTTGCCATTAAAGTAATAGACCCAGAAATTTCTGTTACATACAGTTAATTCGAAATAACCATGAAATATTTTAAAGTTATTTGTCAGTAGGCTACTTGAGGTCACAGATAACTAAAACTTGGAAATGCTTCCATCTGTGTGTAGATTTCGAGTAATTATAGCTGATGAAAAGATAAGTGCCACCCTACTCTATTTAACCATTTAAGCCCTTAAAGCCCAGTGGTCACTGCCACCTGCTTTAACATACTCTTACGTTTCCGCGGTTCCGAGACTAATAATAACTGGTTCTGGATTGGATGATTCGATTTATTGATGCCTTAATTTACAATTTCCTTTATTTACAATGAATTATAGCGCTACCGCTAATCCACCCACTTCACGAATCACTATGACACTCTGTCCGTTTCCTGGCAACGGA